GTTGAAGGACTTAAAGTTATGTATAGAGGGGAACTGTGACCCCTTGCTCAGCACCTCCACAGGAGACTGAAACAGTAAGTGGGGCTATGGCCTCTGGTGGTTCCCAGGGTAGCAGCGACCAGGATGTGGTCCTTTCCGGTTCTCAGAACCTTTACTTTTTTATTCCTATCTCAAGGAGTAAGCTTTTATAGACAGCAGTCAGTCTCTGAGGCTGTCCAGATCTGGGATGCACTCCATCTTGCAAGCACGTTCTTAACCTCTGTCCATGTCCACCCTCGACCTCACATGGCAGGTGGACAGCGAGGTGCTGCTAAGGCTGGACCTGCTCTCCTGGCTGGCAATACAGCTGGTGAGAGCTGAGAGTCTTCCACCAGGTTCCCTGGGGACCCTTGCTCTCATGTGGTGTGCAGCGTCGTTATTTCAGCTGCGTCAGTCTCGGCTGTCTGTTAGGTCGGGATGACAACCATACTTCCTGGGTCAGTTGTGATGCTTAAACGTGATGCTCCATGGAAAGCAGCATCTCAGAGCCTACACTTAGCTGGCTTGTTCTTCCTCGTCTTCTTATCACTTGTGAGGAAGAACACACATTGCATGGGAAATTAATTACATTTTATGAATATTTATGCATTAAATGGATACCAAAATTATTTTAAGTTTAGACACACAATTTAGAACGTGATTAATCAAAATAAGTTCAGCTAAGTATCTTCCCCATGAATCTTTACTGTTTCCCCATGATTCAGTCAAATGCCATTTTCCCTCCAAGTGTGTTAAACACTGACTCATGCTGGAATACTTTTTTTTTTTTCTCGGCATCATTTAGGGTACACCCACAGATCTAACCTGCTTGAAGTTCTTAGCAGAACTTGACCTCAAAGGTTATTGCTGGAGTCCTTGTCTTTTCTCCTGCCTGTTCCCTCTTTCCTTCCTGGGAGCAGCCTTGCGTTTATCACGCTGGACATCTCTGCAGGGGTTTCCCGTGGCTTCCCCACCCCTCCAGTTCTTTGTGCCAGGCTGACTCTGGGCTTTGCTTCTCATCCCTCCTCAGGGCTCAGAGGTGGACCGGTGCCCTCGCCCCTGCACCACTCTGCTCGTTCTTTGTAGGGGTCCTCCCAGGGACGGCCGTGGAGTGGGGCCCCAGCTCGGTGCTTTTCTGCTTCTTTACTGTCTCTTGAAACAGGCCCACCATTTAAAACCAAAAATTAAGGGTTTTATTGCTAACCGCTAATAGAATAAAATGGAAAAAAAATAAAAATAAAAATAGTAAAGACGAAGCAGAACTCTAGCCAGGCTTTCTTCACTCTTTTAGTTCTGCTGAAGACACTTTGTTTTTCTCCTCTCTTTATTTCTAAAGATTTCTCACTCAGTCCTCTCTCCAACACACACACTTCCTGTGGAATTTCCCCCGTTTTGATACCTCAGTCTTCCTCTTTAGGTGTTTCTTTCGGATAAAAAGGAGTGACTTTGGGAGGGCACTCGACTGGCCTTGCTCTGCACTGGGCCTCCTTGTCCTCAGGTAATTGTTTTGGGCTGCAGCCCTCAGCTTAGGTGAAGGTGGGGATCAAAGATTTCATTTTGTTCTTTTTCTCAGACTTTGTGCAGAAGCTTAACTACGACCATTTTCGCCCCCTCAGCCAGTTCATCACATATGTGCTTAACTAGACCCCCAAATTTCAGAACTTAACTTCAAAATTTTCCCTTCTCCAAAATCAGGCAAAATTAAATAATGGCGATGATGTGCATCAGGTGTATTATCTGTGCATCAGTATTAGCAAGCTTTCTACTTGTCTTTTTCCCCATCCAAAAGGAGTGGTTGTTCTTTCTCAAAAATATTAAGTTTTAACACTCTAATCAGTATCTAACTGTGCTGACTGATGACAAATGAGTCTTATCAGTGAGTCACTTAACATCTCCCTCTCCTTTCTGTACTCCTTAAATACTGACATTCTTTGGAG